AGAGTTTGCTCCCTGCCTAGATGCTGCTACTGGCCCTGGAGACCATCAGCCTCTGACAGCACCCACCAAAACCTGTGCTATGAAGCTGGTGCTAATGCAATGCTTCAGTCCCTTTGAACGCCTGTCTCCCCCCAGACAGGGCCAGCTGGGCCTCCATCAGGCAGAGGCAGGTGCCCTCTGCCGGGCACTCACAGAATAGTTGCTCCTGCTTCAGGAGGGGAAAAGGCTCCTACCAGCCTGGTTACTGTGTCTACCTGCTGTGGTCTGGAGGCATGAACAGGTTTGGACCGCCTGCCCTCTCAGTCCACAGTGGATCTCCTCATGACACTGGAGGGAGCACTGCCCTGGGTCCAGGTGGGAACCTGGGGGCTGCAACAACAGCTCCAAGTTATAATGTATTCGGGATCACTGGGTTAGAAAACCTGCTCTCCCCACCTGGCAAGGAGGTTCTGGTCTCCAGCTGCAGGATTCACTTGGGCCATTCCCCATTTCTCTGCTACAAAGCAGGAGGCAATGCAGAAATTAGCACTGGCTTTTAAAGAGACTTCAGATTTAGTACCACCATGGGGAGAACAAGAAGTGTGTGAGCTAACAATTCCTCAAGTGATCAGCTCAGGATGCTGCAAACTCAGGCACAATGCTGTGCTTCCCACTTGGTGGATCACTTATCATGCACCCATGCTGCAAACAAACTTTGTTTCAGGAAGAAAAGCTAGGGCACCAGAGATCCTGAATACCCCCGTGGACAACATGAATGGTGCTGGTTTGCTCTCCTGCTCAGAGAAGGAAGGGTCATAGGGAGGAAGGATGGGACCAGTGTGGGGCATGGGCCCAGGAGTCAGAGGACACAGCTTCCCTTCCAAGCTTCACCAGATTGTCTGGGTAGAGTCACACAGTCTCTAGACATCTGTGCCCCATTGCACAAGGGGGATAACAGCGCTGCCCTGCTGCATGGGGAGGACGGAGGCTGAACTACAGCATGGATGGTGAAACAGGGTCATAAAACTAAAGCACAGTTGTGCTGACAGGGCTCTCAGGAACTCAGACCTCTCTAGCCCCCTGCTCTAGGAAGGACTGCCCTGTTTGAACCGTCCATCCAAGATTTTGTCTGACTGTTCTTAAAAATGACCAAGGATGGAGATTCCACAGCCGCTAGGAGGACCCATCCTAGCACAGCTTAGTTCTTGCTATTATCCAATCTAAATTTCCCTTGCTTCCTTTTGAAGACAATTACGTCTTGTCCTGTCTGCTATGACCACACAGAATAGTCTATCTCCATCCTCTTTATAAACACCATTTATGTCCCTGAGGGCAATTACTGGAAAGACCTCAGTCTTCTCTTCTTCAAACTAAATAGCCCCAGATTTCCAACCTCCCTGCATCAGTCATGTTTCCTAGAACTCCAGTATTTTTGTCACTCTCTGCTGGACTCTTTCAAAAATGTCCACATTTATCTTGTAGTGCAGTGCCTAAAACTGCGCATAATCCTCCAGGTGAGGTCTGGAGTCGTAAGGACAGCAGATGCTGGGAGTCCATAAAACCTCTGGCTTCCTTCCCATCCATTCCAGAGCCTGATGTCCGTTATGCCCATGCTGAAATGACAGGTCGCATCAGCCCAACCTGGCTGGCTGAGAAACCACTTGCCGTTCAGTCGGTGTTGCCTTTGTACATGGATGAAATCAAACAGAGCTGGGTCTCACTAACCCAACCTGTGAAATAAGTTGGTAGTACCCAGGCTGGAAATGAAACTGGATTTTTTTCCCCAATCCATTGTAATCACAGAATCCCAGAGCAGTGGGGCCTGAAGGGACCTCCAGAGCTCACATCTAGTCCAACCCCCTGTCTGAGGCAGGATTAACCCTGTCCAAACAGTCCCATGCAAATCTACCATCTCTTAGTAAAACTACAGTCACTCCTGACACAACACAAGACATTACACTCGAACCTGCCCCAGGGAAAGCAGACAGACCACAGCAGCTAATGTCCTGCTGCTGCAAAGATTGTTAATATATGCTCAACAGTACCAGGCACTGGTACTGCTTCTCAGCTTCATGCACAGGGACCTCCTTCAATCAGTCTCCAGCTCCCTACAGTGCTTTACACAGCTCCCAGCAGTGAGCTCCTTCCTCCAGCTCTGCTCAGGTCAAACTGCCCACTCTGCTAGGGCTAGATAGCCCCAAGCTGCCTCTTCTGGCCTCTCACAGGCTTGTCTTTAAGGCACAGCCCTCAGTTTCTCTCTTTCTCAGGAACAGGGCAAGGTCCCATTAGAAGGTGCCCAGTCATGAGAAGCTGGGTGGCTATGGCTGCAGTCTGGCAGCTGCCATCTGCCCCAGAAGGCCTGGTAACAGAACCAGCTAAGTGCAGACAAGGCTTTAGAGGCTCCAACTGCAATAGTTCAAGTAAAGTTTGGTTGTTAGGAACAGACGCCTTCCATCATCTGGCTTCAGGTAAAGCAGCAAGGGCTTGTGAAAAGCCTGCCACTCCAGGGTTTCCAGGCACAGTGACAGTGACTTTCAGACACGCAAGAGATACAAAAATCTCTGTCTTATGCCGTAGGGTCTCTGAGATGCAGAAGAGTTAGCAGAAGTCAGACATGGGAAGCTCTAGTGTATGCAAAGAACAACTTTATTATTTATTTTTCCTAAAACAGGGCTGCAAACAAAGGAAATCCAACCCAGCTTCGCACACAGGCACAGAGTTATCCAGGAATAGGGTGGCCAGCCTGTGGCACAAATGCCAGCAATGGTATGGGCAGCCTCTGTGTGTGGCAGGCAGCACGGCAGCAGATGTGGCAGGGGGCAGAAAACAGAGCAAGAGATCTGGCAGGGAGCACAGGATAAGCGGCAGAAAGCAGAGCACTAGAGCTGGCAGAGGAAGGGGATGACAGCAACACTTGAAGAGGGTGGGGGGCTAATTTGTGTCAGCCCTGCCAAGAAGACTGGGCCCCATTGAACCACTTCACTTGATCCACATTCCACTTTCATCTGATTTATCTTTCAAGTACAGGCCACCCCTCACTGCAGAATGGCCCCAATTTACTGCAGAGATGAACCAACTCTTTTCCACCAGTCCTTTGGATGAGATTAAAAGGAGCAACTACATCTGTTCCTCTTGAGGAATGGGTCCTCTGAACTACTGTAGTGACTAGTTGTATTCGATTCTGGCTATGTCCTAGGACTGGCAGGTTATGGGTTCCTTATTGTTGGATTCTGAGATGGAGGCAGAGAAGATTCAGCAGTAAGCCACAGAAGCAAGTTCAGCAAGATGCTAAGGTGCCTGTAGTGGCACTTCAGAGACACAAGCCTGAAGCCAGCTGCTAGAATCCTTTGGTGGAGAATCGGTATGACTTCCTCATCACATCTAACTACGTTCCCTAATGATTGTGGCCATTAGGGAATACACAGGCCCCTTTAAATAGGAAGGCATAGAGAAATAAGTAAGACATAGTGCCTCATGGTTTAGAGAGACCCGACTGCCTCAACCAGAGGCAGGTGCAGGGCTTCTGTGGCTCAGTGTCAGTAGAAAGCTAGATTGGCAGAGAGGACTAAGCCCCAGCTGATCACATTAACCTATGCCCCTTTTTAGATCTGTGCTTAGGATGAAATAATCAGAAGGAGGCAGGGAAAAAAACAACAGAACAGAATTAAACCCAGATATCAGAGCTGCAATCTCCACCAGGGTAGCGCACCTCATGGGCGAGGACAGGCCCGTGGGGCTCCTTCCCAAAGTCCACTAGGAAATCTTTATTCACTGTCAGGCCCCCTTTCTTAGTGTCCACATCAATCTGCAGCATAACAGAGCCTTCCCTAGAGAGGGACAAGAAAGCAGATGGTAGGAAAAAAGTGAAGTCACATCCTACTTCCTCACCCTGGCTCTTCTCTTCCGGACTGAGGGAGACATTTTTGGTTAAGCAGGAAGTCTTTTTGGGAGTAGAGGTGAGCCTCAACTCCATGTTTGTACACATCTGCTTAGATCTGGAGTCCTCTTCCCACCAGGGAGGGACAACAAAGGCATCACTAAGACTGTGCTATGCTGAAGGGCCCAGCAGGAGCCTGTGGGTCATATTCAGAAGTGTCCTAGGGCAAGTTTCACTGGTTTATTGAGAAACCTGACCTAGAACTGCCAATGCCTGAGAAACTCTTAGATGCGATTGATTCTTATGCGATGGGCGGTACTACACCCCTCATGCAGAAGATTATTGCCTGCTCTTTGTAACAACAGAACCTGACCAGACCTGACCTGAGAACCATGGAGAGACACCGTGTGAAGGTACTTCTAAGGCAACACACTTTCAAGCAGGCTGGGTCAGCTGCTATAACAGCAGCACTGTATACATTTTTATGATCCACTCTCCCAGTCCATATTGGGTCAAAGGAATGATTTAAACAGACAACGCAGAGGTTGTTGTGCCTATTCAGCATGGATTGATCCTCACTGGTTTGTGAAGCCCATGTAGTGGTTAGCAGTGAGTACTATTATTAATCCCTGGGCTCACTACAATGTGGTATAAATACCACTCATATCTAAGGGGCAGCAACTGAAAACAGGCCTGTCTTGCAGGCAGTAGTGGCTCTGCCTTTTGGGATCACCCACCCAGAATCATTAATTACCTGATAAGGTCTGGGTAGAACTGCTTGTCCCATCCACTGTAAAGGGAAGTGGTTACGTACAGTCTCGTGCCATCCAAGCTCAGCTGGATCATCTGAGGTCCACCTGCAACCTTCTTCCCCTGGAGGAACAATGGGAACAGGGGGTGTTACAAGCTGCTGGTGTTCTCACATGGGAAGAAGAATGCAACAGAAGGGAGAGGCAGAGCAGGGTCCACTCCCTGAAGATGCAAGTCTGCTTTCCTGGACAGACAGGGTTAAAACCTCTTCATTTAGGCTGCCGACCTTTTCAATGGCAAAACTGGCTGCTTGCCTAAGTCTAAGCTCCCTAGGGTACCTGGGATATGCTTTATATGGATGTGGAAGCTGGGCTAAGTCAGAAAGACCCTGATCCCTCAATCCTTACTCCGTTTAAAATTTCTCCTGTTCTTGCAGGGGAGTTTTGCTTCCATGAGAGCAGCAGAACCAGGCTGGCAGGGGTGGTAACAGGCAGCTCAGCCCAAGCTAATTTCCCAGCCGGCCAAACCTGCCAGAGGCAATAACTGGCAGCTCCAGCCTGGCTGATGAGCCAGCTAGCTGCTGTTAGGACCTCCTGACTGTTGCTAGGGAGAGCAGCCTTCCCATTTAACCCCACCTGTGGCCTCAGGCTGAGGCCAGCCAACAGTTCTTCTGAAGGTCTGTGGCAGTAAGCCTCCTTCATTCTCTGCTCTTGGTTTTCTCTCTTCTGAACCTGCTTGGCCAGGTCTGTTCTGGGTCTGGCTGCTTGAAAATTCCCCTTGGCTTTGGTAACTCAGTTCCTGACTCCAGAATCCCAACTTGGCCTCTAACTTGGCCTCTGCTCCAGACTTTGGAATTAGCAGAACAGTGCCAAGACATGATGCTTCTGGTGGAGAAGGCAGCCAACATTGCTCACCTTGATCACAAATGGCTCCGGCTGACACTGCAGCTCTGGGTCTTCCAACACAGTGACGGGCCCACCTCTGGTGATACTGCCTCCCAAAAACACCTGTAGGCAAGGGTATGTTGTCACCAAGGGAGCAAGGACTCCAGGCATGGAAGATACATGGCCAGGCAGCCACAGTATTTACATGGAGAGTGAAACTTGTCCTTTTCCCTTTCTAAAGAGGAGACAGGTAGTGTACCCAACCACAGCAACTTGCCTCACCTGTCCAACCAATTTGGGCTTCCTGGTGTTGGAGATATCATACTGACGAAGGTCTCCATGGATCCAGTTGCTGAAATACAGGAATCTGTCATCCAGGGAGATGAGGATGTCAGTAATGAGACCTTAAAAAAAGAGAACATTCAGCAGAGGAGGCAAGAAATATACAGTGAACAGCGGCAGAGGCAAACAAGATTCATGACTGTTAGTACATCAGGCACAGAGCACCAAGGACCTTCACATGCATGTCAGACAAACCCAGTTCAGATACAAAACCCAGGGTGTTGGCAGAGAGAAGTCTCAGCAGTGCTGCTGTCACCACTCCCATCTACATCTCTTTTTTGGCCTTAGATGATTCCTGTGGTTCCATCCAGGTTTTCCCCATTTAGTGGTGCCTGCCAAGACCATGGTGAGTTCTCACTGAAAGGCAGAGGGGATCCAGGGTTCCTTTCACAGCAGAAACCACCCCCAGGTTTCTAGCCTGGAAGAAGGGACCAAATGTGATTTCATACATGGAGGACCAGAGACTGGCTGACTTGGCTTCCACTGAGCAGAAGCCATGCTCTAACCTAGCGCATTCCCAGCTAGCAACTGACAGTAGGTTAAAATATTTTACATATGGGCCACAGCCAGAGGAACCACGCTGTTGAATCCAAACAAAACCATGGCCTGGGACTAACATGGGCTGCTTTTGTGTGGGAGTAAGAAGACCACAGTGCGAGCAAGAAAGATGTTAACAAGCAGATGTATCCTGAACTCAGAAAGGTGTTGCAGAAGAACAAGGATTCCTATGAAAAGCCACTGCCCAGCCTCATAGGTGCTTCAGTTTAAATAAGCCGATCGGACTTCAACTGATAACAGATACTGGCAAATTTGTAACACAAATTGGGGTGAGAATGGCAACTCTGAGCAACCTTGTCTGCAGAAAGACACCTGCTTCTCTTGGAGCATGCACCCAGACACTGGAAGCACCAATACCCATCTCCATGTCTTTGATACAGGACGTGTTTCATGGGCAGGGATCTACAGTGCTGCTGAGGATGTTGGAAAAGCAAATCTTGAGCCCTCCTCCACTCACCTGGCATCTCAGGCAGAAGCCACCCCTTCACCTTCTTGTTGGGCACTTGGATCACCTGCTCAGTCACCCAGGTTCCCTTCTACAGAGGAACAAAAGCATATGCATCACCAGTGCTCCTTTTGATCAGTCAACAAAAGCTCAGTTATGCTTGATAGCAGCAGGGTAAGGGTAAGAACATGTGCTTAACCTAGCCTGTACAGAGGTGACATACAAGTACTACAGATAAGCGTTAACAGTGCTGATGAAGTGAATAAGTGACTAGGTAGACTATATGGAGTTAATGATTACACTATCTGACAAGAATCAGAATAAAGCATGTGTTACTTTGTGGGACCTCAACAATAGCCCAGTGGATGTGCTCCACATCCTGCCCAAGTAACGAGAGTTCAAAGGGAAAGGGGCCAAATACACCTGATAGGTTAGAGTTGGCTTCTTCTGTGGAACTGAGTCTATAACCTATTTTCCACCTTTGCAGAAGACTTTAGCTCAGGCTGAAAAAGAACATGTCTGGGGAAAACGTAGGACCCACGGTGCCTGTTACATTACTGTAGCAAAGAATTTAGATAATTATACGCACAGGAAAATCAATTCCATGCCAGCTCAGCTGTTTTCTAAATCCAGTGTAAGATGCAAATGAGTCTCCCTGAGCTTAACTCCAGCCAGAACTAATCTCTTGTAAGATTCTTCCAAGCCACCCACTGTCCTAATTCAAACAACGGTGGAAATGAATGGAAGCTGATGGCACACTGGTTTACATGCACATACTGGCTTTTGTTAAGAGCCTCAGCACTGCAAATGGAGGATTGCCACTTATTTCCCAGACGCTCACCGCCTCAAAGTCAAAACTCTGCAAGGCTCCTGGTGCATAGCAAAGAATTGGAGAATGTCATAAAATGAGAGTTAACTCCACTGATGAGAAAGAGCATTTAGGACTTCTGGGAGCTCCTAACACAAGTAGCTAGCACTGGATTGCTTGCCCTGCTTTGAGAAAGAGTAGGACCTCCTGGTCCACCTCCCTGCTTGGAAGGGTTATGGTTTTACAGAGCCTCTCAACTTGATGCCACATGAGAAGAGCTTTGCCTGACAGCTCTTTCTAAGTGAATTTCTCTGTTCTCTCAGTGACCCAGGGCCTCTCTGAAACAGGGTCCCATTTGAGCCTTGTCTCCTGCCAAAGTCCTTACCTCGGTCTTGTAGAAACGGTGGACTGCACTGCTCAGGGCACACCCGACATATCCCTCTGCAGCGTCAGGGCTGTGGAGGAATCTGATTTCCAGCGGGACGGAATCCTCCCCCAAATCAATGGACTGCATGTAAGTATGGGCGGTCCAGTCCCACACGTTAATGTAGCGGCCATAGCACCCTGAGGAATCAAGTCATACAAAAATTATGTCAGAAGAGCTGCCTTTAGCCCTGGAGAAAAATAGTTTTCAAGCGTGTAGACAAACAGCTGTATCTTTGCAACTGCAGACAATATCAGGTGGGGGGGTTCCAAGTGTTTCATGGGGCTTTGCTCAAGAATCTCTATGCATTTCAAAACTCTTTACAGGAGAGGCATCAAGCATCAGATTGTGGGGTTCTCTGCACCACATCTCCATGGCCAGCACAAGGCAGATGACAGGAAAGACTATGTTCAGTGAGAGTCTGAAGGACAGTTTCTACCCATTGAGTCTTCAGATCTTCAAACCCCAATTTAGCTACACCTGAGTCTTTTCCAAACCCATACGAGCGGTGCTGGTCATTCTGATTATACAACCATCTCCAGGAGAAGCAAGATGAGATTCGGAGGGGAGGGGAGGGGAGGGGAAGAGACTAAGCTCCTCTTCATGGCTGAATTCAACCCTGAACAGCCTCAGGCAGTGGTTCTCAATCTTTTTAGACTCCAGGCATCCTCCGTCATTTTTCTGAATTTATAACATTTCCAAATGTTATAAAAAATAAGTAATGACATGTTTATACTGGGCACTAAAGCTTTTTCCCCTTTACTTTTCATTAAATATTTTTCTTTTTTTTATGACAGTAGTGTAAGAATGATGTCACCATGATGGTCCAGAACTGTTACGAGATGCAAGGATTTCTTAGGTTTATCTCTTTACTAGACCAACTATGTAATTGGGATAGAGTTATACAAGCAAATGCAAGACATTCTTTGTCAGGTCTTGCATTTGAAAGCTCTTCTAACTTTACCCCAACTGCAGAGCTGGTCCAGTAAAAGATTTCACCTTCAGAAAACCTTGCTGCTTTTTTAAAATTAAGAGCATGGCAATCAAGCAGAACACTGGTGTTAAAGCAATATAACAGCTGAGAGGTTATGGGTGAGCTTTGGGATCCACAGCTCCATAGTTGCCTGGGTTCAAACAGTGTGATGGTAGTACAGAAACCAAGGTTTAAAGGACATTATCTGTTACATGTCAGTTTGCTTTTTTTAATGTAAAGTAACAAGGGCATGAGAGGATCTAGGATTTTGGAAAGGGGGGTGCAGATGGTGTGGTGCATATCAACACAGCACATTTTTCTCCCACTAAAGAGAAACTAGAAGCTTTACCAATATGCTCACAGCCTAGCACTATATTTATTCATTTAAGATGAAAGCAAAAACAAATACAACTTTATTGGACTGTGCACTAATTTGCTAGATTATTAAGTTTAAGAAATACAACCAACCCAGGAAAAATAATTAAAAGATATTATTTCATTAGCCTGTAGTCAAAGTTAAATGTACATCTTATTCAAATTTGTAAAACAAAACCTAGCCTTCCTGAGCATCTTGACAGAGCAATCCAACACTTCATGGTTAATCTTTTCCACACCTGTGTTAATATGACCACACACCTGAATTAAGATTTTTACCTAGGACTAAAAATAGTCTGTAGGGCTGTGAAACAGAAAAGACATTTTCAGGAATGGCTAAGAGACAGTAACATTGCAGAAGAAAGGATAGTTTGAATAGTAGAACATCAGGCTGTTAAAAAGGACAGAGGGGCATTAACACCTGTGGAGAGCAGAGATTGCAGAAATCAGGAGATGACAACCACTTCCCCTGCCCCCATCATCCTTGAAGGAGCACCTACTCGCACCTTCTGTAATGCTGGGGAGTTGCTGATGTTTTGGAAACTTCCACTTATAGAAGTTACCGGCTGCCGAGTTTTAATGTCCTTGATTGACAGGAGCTTTGTACTTTACTTAGAAAATCAGCACTGTCTGTAATGCAGTAAAAGGGATTGTACCCAGGCAAGATGGGAAGACAACTGTTTTGCCCCTGGCTATGACCTGCCCATTGGAGTCAAGATCTCGCATTATGTAAAGAGGGGTCAGGGTGGGCTCGGCCTGCCTTGGTGTGAGCCACATTCAGTTTGGTCTTTGGTAGGGTCTACACATTGGACCTGCAATCAATCCTTCCAGGGCACGTTCGCTTCCTGTTGCTAGTGAAAGCTGATGACCAGAGAAGAGCCACTGGGCATAGACCTGCGCTCATCAAAACCTTGGCACATTTTCCAACCTGGAGTGTCTAAAGAAACACTCTCTCACCTTTCTTCAGATCTGCTGGGTTAAACCCATTTGCAAAGATCTTTGGAACTCCCCATTCAGTGCTCATCAGGACGTTGTGCCGTGGCTGGTACCAGAAGTCGTAGCCAAGGGCAGGTATCTTGTTCCCTTTCTCCCAATTCCCTTTCACTTCAAAGGTCTCTCCATCCAGCAAAATAAAGCCACCTAATGCAATACACATAAACACATTGCTTATAAGGGAATCATCCCCATTAACAGCTTGAAAAAGCAACAATATAAAAAAAACCCTCTTCTTAAAGCAGTCTATAGCCTGCCACATGTACTCTAATGTCAGAGAAAGATTTTACGATGGAGAGATGCAAGCAATTTTAGGATGGAGAGATTCTTAACAGCAAGCAGGGTGACTCAGCAGGGATGAAAAACTGACCCCCTCCCCTCCCCAAGGTTCAGTGCTGAATTTTGTAGCCATATAAATATCCATCTAACAAGCCATCGGTACCAATTTAATGTCTTTATATTGTGGAGCTAGGGTTAGTGATTAATTATGATAGTCAAAGACATATCTGCCTACAACCCAGAAGTGTGAAAGGGGGCAGGGGCCACGGCCACTTGTCTATAGTTGACAAACAAGTGCTTCGATACCAAGGAATGTTCTCCGAATTAACAACGCTCCATTCGTTAGCCTCCGGCAAAGGCTTTAAACATGAACTCTGGAACTGGAGAACTGGGAAGTTTATCTTCTCCACAAAGTAAGACCAAGGGCATTTTGCTAAGACAAAGCCAGTGCAACACTGGCACAGACTGCTGTTACCCAAATGGGGTTAAGTGAACTGTATGGATAGATTATGTGAGCAAGTGCCCACATCACAAACGCTCACATGAGTTCAATCCCAAATACTTGTACAACTCAGTAGAACTCTGGGCTCTTGGGACGCTAAACTGGCAACCAGCATAAAAAACAGGGAGCTCTTCACAGGGCTTCTAGGTTTTAGCTTGAATGTTGTTAGCCTGCTATTTCTGCAGCAAAGACCCCATCCCTTCAATTATGATGGAAATTAGTACCTTTTCCATTGCCAGATGGATCTCCTATGGCACTGATCATGATCTCGCCGTTGCCCAGACAGTGAGTTGTGTGGGGATTGGCCAAGCCGCACTTCCAATATATATCCACTGGCTCAATAACCTAAAGAGAGTTTACACAGAGTTAAGCTTCTTCTTGCTAAGGCCACTCAACACAGTGTCAACCCCACCCCATGGAGAAGGTCTCTCGTCATCTTAGAACACTGAAGAGTTCTCAAATTTGAGTATTTTGGCCCATCTGCTCTGGACTTCGACCAAGAGGAAACTATAAGAGAGACCAGAGAAAATCCCAAAGCTTTACTTATCTGGAGATATGGCTTTGTATTTATTTTAGTGTATCCCTCTACCACTAAGTGGTTCTCTTGAAGAAGATGCACCATGTTGCTATATTAAAAAAGCATGGCTATAGTCAAAAGACACATAAAACCAATGCAGCGGTGCTCAGTGAGGCTGGATGTCAGAGTTGTCTGTGACTTCCTGCAGTTGTCTGCCTGTCTCACACTTGGATGGATTCATATATATCATTAGCAGGGATCTGGAACTGGGCGGGCTAGTGGCTTTTGTGTCAAGGATGTGGTTTTGTACTCCTTGTGATAATTCAACCAAATCTGAACAAGTTAGAAGTCTTTGAAAAAAATGCTTCAATTTGCATATATTCAATCCAGTGTTTTGATTTTCACAGCTAAAAGGAATGTACTAGGGACATGTAATTAAGGACTGGATTGTGGTACCTATGTGTTAAGTCTGGACAAGCAACCTGAATACTCCATATCCTAGCTTCTGAACTCTAACACATTCTTCTAACACAGTCTCTCCATCCATCTTTGGAGTAGAAGTCCCATCCCCCAAGCAAGGCGCACATCCTGACGTCACCTCCAACACACCTTATAGAGCCTGGGAGCCCGCACGTCTGTGCCCACATCCACCACATAAATCCGAGAAGAGATCAAACTGGGAAGAATCAGCCGGTTCCGTTTCTTGCTGACATCCCCAAAGGAGCTGCTGCAAGTATTCCACCCTGAATGATGGAGCTCATCTTTGACATTGGGCATGGGCAGACGGTGGATCACCTATGAAGGTAAAGGCACAATTAAAATTCATCTGTTAAGACAGGACGCTCCTGAGATAGCCCTGTAGATACCAGTATAGATTATGAATGAGAAGAGGGGGGTTACTGTTGTTGTTATATGATTGGTGCAGTAGGTATCTGTTTAGCCATCAGGTTAGGGTACTGACATGCGAGGGGACAGGCTGCTGCCCCAAAAGTAGTCATAAATGGCAGGCAGATGGCATGGGGTTAGCTCAACTGGAAGCAGAGCAGAGTATTGCTTGACTAATGTTATTTCCTTTTATAACCAGGTGACCTATCACCTGGACAAGGGACAAGAGATTTATGTCATATATCTCAACTTTAAAAAAGCTTTCAATCTGGTATCCCACGATCACCTCTTGGCAAAACTGGCTAACTGTGGCCTCAGCTTCACCACAATCCACTGGCTGGGGAACTGGCTCCGTGGTTGGACCCAGAGGGTGGTGGTTGATGGAAGTCAATCGTCGTGCTGCGCTGTGACCAGTGGGGTCCCCCAGGTCTCTGTCCTTGGGCCTATACTATTCAACTTCATTAATGATGTGGACATTGGAGTCAGAAGCGGGCTGGCCAAGTTCACCAATGACACCAAACTTTGGGGCAAAGCATCCACACCTGAAGACAGGAGGGTGATCCAGGCTGACCTGGACAGACTCAGCAAATGGGCGGGCGAGAACCTGAGGGTGTTTAACACCGAAAAATGTAAGGTTCTCCACCTTGGGAGGAAAAACCTGCAGCAACCTTACAGGCTTGGCAGTGGCTAGCACTACTGACGAAAGGGACTTGGGGGTCATGATTGACCACAAGATGAACATGAGCCTTCAATGTGATGCTGCAGCTAGTAAAGTGAACAAAACGCTGGCTTGCATCCATAGATGCTTCTCAAGCAAATCCCAGGAAGTCATTTTCCTGTTGTACTTGGCCTTGGTGAGGCCACAGCTGGAGTACTGTGTCCAGTTTTGGGCCCAATTCAAAAAGGATGTGGAGAAGCTTGAGAGAGTCCAGAGGAGAGGCACGCACATGATCAGAGGTCAGGAAAACAGACCTTATGATGAGAGGCTGAGAGCTATGGGGCTCTTCAGCCTGGAAAAGTGCAGGCTCAGGGGTGATCTGGTGGCTGCCTAGAAGTTTATCAGGGGTGCTGACCAGGATCTGGGGGAACGTCTGTTCACCAGAACGCCCCAAGGGATAACAAGATCGAACGGTCTCAAACTCCTCCATTACCATTTCAGGCTGGACACAAGGAAGAACTTCTTTACTGTCTGAGCCCCCAAGGTCTGGAATAGCCTGCCGCCGGAGGTGGTTCAAGCACCTACTTTGAATGCCTTCAAGAGACATTTGGATGTTTTCTTGCCAGAATCCTATGACCCCTGCTGACTTCCTGCCCCTGGGGCAGGGGGCTGGATTTGAAGATCTTCTGAGGTCCCTTCCAGTCCTAATGTCTATGAATCTATGAAATCTACAGCGAGAGAGATACCTGAGAGTAGGATGCAGATTTTGGATTCACATCCACAGTGGCCAGATAGTCAGGTTTGTCTATCCCAGTGTTCCTGTAGATGCAGGGCAGGTACACAATTTCCTCCTTGGGACCTGTCAAGGAAGAAATATTGTTTAAGAATTGGCAATAATTAATTTAAAAGAAAACTGAGGTGAGCCTTGGAGGTGTCTTTTACTGGGTTGAATTTACCCATCTGGAGCTTGGGGTCCTTCCTCCTGAATTACATCAGGGGCAGACAGATCCTGGAGTTTCCAAGGGAAGCTCTGGACAGCATGCAGCTGGAAAGGAATTTCCTTGCCTAAGGAAGGGACTCCTTCAGCTTTGGATTCCCCTAATTCAGCTCTGCCGAAAGACTCAACCCTTGTTCAGAAAAGTACTTCTGAAGGGGCTTTGGGATGCACAGGTCATTGCAATGGGAACAGCTCCAGGGATCTCGCTTACCCCTGGCAAATGCCTGTGGTGCTTAGCCCAGTGAAGCCTGGCTTAAAAAACAGGCCACGTGTAAAACTGCACAGGATAGTACAAAGTCCCTTCTCCCGTCTCTGAGAAATAAGGATAGGAAATCACTCAATTTTTTTACTGTATAGTCACATGCAGGTCTTATTTAGGGCAAATAGGACTGCAACTAGTTTGCATGGAATTATTTATGATACACTTATTCTCTTTTTAAAAAGAGCCCTTCTGTTTGGCAATGTGTAATGCAGCACAGATTGCACAAGCCCATCAAAATATAAAAATATGGCACTGCAAACCTATTTTGACAGAAAACCACAGTTGGAGAATTGTGCCCAGAGATGGTCAAAAGTGAAAGTGGGTTTCCTTACTCATTATAGGTTCTTCCCACCTACTGGTGGGATGTAGGGTATGGAGTCCCAGTGGCACTCTCTGAAAGGGATCCTCTTAATCTTAGCATAATGCAAAAACAGCTCAGAACTCTTTCACCGATGTCCTAGGATTTCAAACCAGAACTGATATGGACTTGCCTTTCATGGCATCCAAAGGAGTCTTGTATCCAGGACCGCAATCCCTACAGTTTGCTGTTTTAAAATAATAAGAATAAAAGGTTAGAGATCTCCATGTTTTTGGAAGGCACTTGTTCCAAAAGGGGTATGGACTTTACATGTTCAAATTGAGAAAACTTAGGTCCAGTATTTAGAAAGGTCAAATACCTACAGATCATTTCACCTCTAAGAGCAGTTGAGTGAGCTCAAGACCTCTGAAAACAAGGCACAACCTGTTAAGCTGAGGACCCAAAAATGGAGGAAAATTAAAGCTTGAAGTTCAAAGGAGTTCTGTCCTGCAATTCAGCACCAAGGTAATGTATGGCAAGTGCCTGGGGTCTAGGAAGAGTTACTCCATAGTAAATTTTAAGAGACTGGGCTCTATGCACTGCCCTTTATTCACCTAGACATATTGCTCCATTTGAACAACCCACTCTCCCATGAAGCAGAAAGCTTTCAGGCTTCTTCTGAGTATTAGTCCTTGAAGAAGTGGCCATCCCTGGGGGCTTAGAAGCTCTTTGGGAAGCAGTTCTGCAGACACCTGTCCAGGATTTCTGGCAATCTTGCTTGATGGGAAGTCAGACCAAGAAACTCATTTCCCAGCTCTGATCCTACTTCCTCCTGCTAGAAACTCTCACTGAGCTCCATCCTGCACCCCTACATTACCAGCTACTAATCCCCATCTCAGCCATTAAGTCAGGAACCAACAAAGGAGAGCCAACCCAGCTGGTACGTTCCCAAGAGACTGGAGGGGAACCTGAACATTAGCAGTGGGGAAATCTGGGGAGCAGTGTTATAATGGATAAAGCAGAAATTCAGTTATTCAATGTACGTGCCATAATCCCCATGCAAAGCGTCAAAACATGGATCTGGAATGGGAATTACAGGAGCTGTTACCATTTTCTCAACAGAACAGGAAACAGATGCATTTACTTTTCATGAGAAATAAGATACCCATCTCTGGATCATCTAGAAATAGTAGTTCTGAAATATTCTTCAGTAAGCATAAAGTAATGAATAAAAATAAGAGTAGTAACTAGCAAACACAGCTATAAGCTTTGTCTTGTTCTCTCTGAACCAATGGGTGAGCCTGAGAGGTTTTTCATCACTTAGAAGTATCATAGTTAACATAATAATAATAATATTAATGCTAATGATACTACTGCCAATAATAATAACACCTGTGTCCATTTTCATTATAACATATCCTGCAATCACAGAATTGGTGCCTGGTTTATTTTAACAATATTTCTAGAGAAAATTACCCTGAGACATTGCTTTTAAAAGCATTTTATGACAAGCCCTAGGGGATTGACAGGAGCCACTTCCATACAGTGATCTTTGGTAATGTCTCTGACAGCTAAGAGCTCCCAAACTGACAAAAAAAAATGCCAAAGCACACAAAGATAAAGATATGGACACCGTCTTTGTCATATGAAAAAAGAACAAGCCCTAAGTTTATATGCCTTACCAAGGGACATAAATTTGCACAGAATATGGTCACAAAACTTTCGGCTGGGAAGGAGTGTCCAGTTTCTACCATGGCTCACCCTCCATCTTATACCAACAGCAGGGAGTAGCCCACAGCATTCCTCCAAGTTCAACTGTAGGTAAAAGTTTTGGAGAGCTGAGCACAAAAAAAGTGACAGCTTCCAATGTGACAAACATTGAGATAAATTCTGGGTAGGACCAAGAAATGTGATGCTGTGTTCTCAGTTGCTATAGTACCTCAAGTATCTTTCTGATGAACAACTTGCCTTATTGTTCATGTCTGGCCACACTCTATTTATTATCTTCACTGCACCTAAAAATTTCTTGAAACAAATGCCAAGTAGATGACACTTCTAGGCTGACAGCTGCATTTTTCATTTAATGGAAAAAAAAAATTAAAAAAAGTCAAAGGGGACAGAGAAATTGCTTCAAGGAATCTATTCCCTCCTTTCTGAAGTTCATATTTAAAAATGGATTTGCTCAAAAAGAACACTTTCACATTTATGTTAACTGAAAAGGTTTTCTTAAATAACCAGATTTGTAAATAGGAGAAGGAAGGGAGGTATGCAGTCTTTCATTTGTGCCCAAGTCCTGCAAAACGAAACATTTAAACTTTGTTAAAAATAGATGGAATATCAGAAGCTAAACGACCTTCTGAATCACCTGATTTAACAGGGACAAAGTGAGTAGCAGACCAGTACTAGATGAGTATTGCAAATGCAGTGTTAGTTTGCAGACCTCTTTAACATAATAAAAGTCCACGGAGGCTCGAATGTTTGCTAGATAGCCCCCTCGTCTCCTTTATCCCACACTCTTGCTTCCTTCCCAACTTGCTCAAAGACTGTTCTATTAAAAGGTTGTATTTGACAGTTTAAGGATCCCACAAACCTTTTGCTGTCATTTCTGCCAGTCTCATTCAGGAATATAGAAATAGGGTTTGTTGTTTTTTTAAGATAAAGCTGTTATCAGTAATTTGAGAGCAATACATTAATGCAATCATTTATGTTAAGGATACTAATCTATGGCTAAACACATGAATGCCAGTCATTGCATTCTACTTGGCTGCCAACTGGATGTTTAGAATACCACAAAGTCCAACTGTGTTTAAAGTGGATGCATCATGAAGGACCAACATGTTTTACAAGCTCGTGCTAGACCAGGATTGCTTGAGTATTTTCTACAATGTGGCCTATACAGAAGATCAGCAAAAAAGGGGTTGGAAGGGAGCTCAGGAAGTCACATCTAGGCCAACCCCCTGCTCAAAGCAAAACCAGCCCTAACTACATCATCCCAGGCAAGGCTTTGTCTAGCCGGGTCTTAAAAACCTCCAAGGATGGAGACTCCACCACCTCTCTGGGGAGCCTGTTCCAGTGCTTTACTACCCTCCTCATGATAAAGTTTGTCCTAGTATTTAACCAGACTTCCCTTGCTGCAACCAGACTTCCCTTGCTGTAACACTCTAAGCCTACCATGGGTGGATCTAGGATTTTGAAAAGGGGGCTGTAGATGGCAAGGTGCATCATCATATATAAAACAACACACATTTTTCTCTAATTACAAATAAAGTAGAAGCATTACTAATACACCAGGGGCCTAGGGCTGGATCATTCTGTTTTAGATTGAAGCAAAAACAAACATAACTTCACTGGAATGAGGAACAAGTCACTTAATTTGTCCATGATCAGTATGAGAATAAGCACATTTGTGTCTCCCACCATTTCCTAAAGTTTTAAATGTCAATTCATTGTTTTGAGAGCCTCAAGGAAATTAAACCAAGGAAAAACGGAGTAACCCAAAGACGAGGATAACCCAAAGACAAAGCACACTATCTGAATGATGGGAATAGGATTTAGGAATCTTTTTCAAGAATAACAGCAGAAATAGATGCACTTTTTTAAACTAAAAGGGCATCCTATCTCTGCTTAAGCAACATGGATACTATGGTTTACAAGTGAGCTATAAAGTGCACTGAAGCAGCTAGAGCAAACATGCAGCCTCTGTTTAAATTAAATAGGCGTTGCTAGTAAGCAGCCTAATGAGGTTCATAGATTTACAACCATGAGTAAGGGATCTGTACGACACTCCTTTTGATTATGGGAGCTGTGACTGCTGCATGTCCGGGAATTTCAGTGTAAAAGTTACCTGTACCATCATGGGATAACTTCCTACATACTGGTGACTTGGTTTAAATAAGGTTCTGGAATCTATTTTGCTCCCTCAAATGCATCACTTAAATAATTCATTTTTTGTATGAGTGCACAGCTCCTAAGCAAAGTCTTATGCACCAAGATTCAGCTAACACCGTTTTCTCACGAACTACTGACAGCCCCTTCCCCTGATCACAGAGGCTTGTTACACCATGTAATAAAACCAACAAGTGCAGCATGCCACTACTCTAGTGGCCCCTGGAGTTAGGTTATATTCAAGCCCATTCAGGCACTACTTGCTTTTAGGATGGGGAAACCCATTTACAGCAAATCAGTTAGAATCAGGTCTTAGTTCTGCTTCTTGTACTTAAAGCGTGGGATTACTGAAGCTGCTTTTCTGCATGAGACTAGAAATAGTCAATTCATTCTCTTATCAAGTTAACAGTATATGTTTGATGTAATCAGTAACTTATTAAAAAACAAAGATGGGAGGAACTGTTAGCTTTATAACTTAGCTTTCCTCAATAGGGCACAATATAAGTTAAAATGATGAGAATATGCATCAGAACTGAGGAAAGGGCCAAGTTAGCAGCAGTGTTATGAGATTCAACAGTCAAGACATCAGCACTGGTGATACATTGCTCATATGCCAGGAGGCCTATTCCACACAACTAATAAAATGATCCAGGAAACTTTGAAGATTTTGCCTGCCTTTAGAAAGGCTGCACAAACCTCTTCCCTCTTCCCCCTGCCCCACTCAACACCATGCTGTGGTCAGCAGAAATCCATGAAGCAATCTACCCTGGTTTGGCACAGATATAATGTTTTTCCCCATCCATGTAGCACTGGAATCCCTCTTTATTTACTGCCTGTTTACGTCTTCAAAAAACACTGTGGTCATAAAGATAAAGCACCTATATCCAGATCAGATGGGAAGTTTATTAAGAAACAAGACAAAGAATGTTTCCTTTTCACCATTAGAAGCACACATAGTGAACACCCAGGATGGAGAGCTGGACTGGACAATTTAGGTTCAGTTTTACTGAATCAGTTTCCTTTTTGATTAGAGTTTCCTCTTTATGATTACAGGTTTTTTTTAATTGAACCAAACACACTGTTATGTACAGTGAGAGGCAAATACACGAGGATATATCCAATGAAAGAAAAACCCCTCTGCATTCTCTTCTAAGCACCCACCCCTCTAACTGTGAAAGTGTTTATATTAATCATTAACAGCTACAGTAGGCATTTACAGTGATATCTTGGTTCTCCACTATTCACTCATCTTCCCTAAAGATGCACAGGCTCACTTTTGCGCTTTGCCTGTGTGGAATCAGAAAAAATATATGCCTTAAACTTTGATTATTTTAGTTATAAGATGACATAACCACTTTGTGGAGAATTGCTGGCTCTGTATAGTAGAACAGATAAGAGAAAGTGTTTGTTCTTTGTAACTCCTCTGCAACTGCTTCGCTCACCGTGGCCTTGAAGATAGCAAAAAAGTATGTACAAATCTGATTTCCAGGTGCAAGAAGGAGGTTTGTGAACTAACCTCGCCTCCCCCATTAGTTCCCATCCTGATTACAGCAAAGAAATAACGAAGTAATATTATAGCCGCTTTTCATGCTAATTTCACTATATGATCACGTGAGTTGTAAGCAACTGTTAAAAAGTATATAAGCCTCCTGATTTTGCTCTGGGGGGGGGGGACACACCCCTTCCAAGTGCTTGGGAAATCCATGTCACTTTGGAATCCCCCCTACAGCTGTAGTTTCTTTTAAATAAAAGCTTCTGCTGACCTGACCCAAAAGTATGCTGTGTGTGTTTCCACGACACCTGGCTACTACTTCAGACCCACCTTTCTTCTTACTTATAGGCTGCCTTGGCCACTCCGTAACAAACCCGCCAGTCCCCTGGTCAGGGGAAGGATAGGAAGTTTCAAAGTACACAGTTGGCAGTCTGCAAAAGTCAGTAGCAGGGAGACCCAGGCTGGATCTGTCTAATCTGTGAGTGTTTTCCTGCCGAGAGCTGATTGTAGGCTGCGGATTATTTCGTCTGATGAAGTGAGCTCAGGTTCATGAGAGCTTATACTATATATCTCTGATTTAGTTAGTCTATAAGGTACAAATCTACTCTGCCTTCTGTCTATCTCTTACCCATTCTGGTTGTCTTCTGGCCAGATCTTCCAGCTGCTGAAAGAAAACACAGTTTGTAGTCAGTCTGCCTGATGACAGCACTGGATTCTGCAGAACAAATGCTGCTCTCAGGGGGTCTTATATACAAGGGAAAGGGGCGGGGAGAGTAGAAAGCTGCCAAGGGGAGGATCTGGTGCTGAAAGAGCGTGGGAGGTACCAGGAAAACATACCACCTTCTTTCTTATCCCCAATTAATGCCACAGGCAGCTACTCTGCTCTACTGGACCCTGCTGCTCTCTTTCCAAACATAGAGAAGCTGTATCCTCTTCTGGTGGACTAGTTGTGTGCTTATGTGCACTGAGCACAAGAAAACCTCCTTATATAGCAAAAAAAGCTCTTTGCTGTTAACAATCAGGGGAGAGGAAAAAGCTCTGTTTGTAAAACTCTTGCTTTTGGGCTCTTTGGCTCCCTAAAAAAGGTAGCTGCATAGTATCTTCCCACTACCCAGCTGCATAGATGCGTTTCTCCTGTGAAAACCTCTGCAACATAGCTGAAACCCTAGCTCCTTAAACCCCATGCATAGCAACTCTTACCCCAGTTCCCCTTTATCACTGAATAGTCAGCACCCAGAGGCATATTAGGTGCCCTAGTGATCACTAGAGCTCTGCTGAGCTGCCCCAGAGTTGATCTAGATCAGCTCAGACCTACAGGCTCGTGCAGTGTCTACAGAAAGTTGACTGTTCCCCAGCTGCCCCAGGCCAGAGGTGGGCACATCTCAGGCATATGGGGGAGAATAACATAATGGGAGAATGAGACATTTTGACAAGGTCCTGCAGGAAAGGCAGGGCGAGGGGGGGGGGTGTTATGTAGGTCCTATATAAACAGCCTTGAAAGGGGTGGTGTGGGGAAGGCCAGCCGGTGCCTGCAGGTGGAGAGTGTGATGCCAGCCAATCAGAGCCGTGGAGAGCCTGCTGAGGTCAGTATGAGGGTAGAGTAGGGTGGGGCTTGAGGGAAGCTGCAGGGGAAGGGTGGGGCTTGTGGAACCAGGGGTCTAGGGGGAAGTGGGTGTGGTTAGAAACATGGGTCAGGGCTTGTGGGTGTGTGGGGGGATGTGGCCATGGCTACAGGAAGGAGGAGATGAGGCATATCCCACAGTGCAGGTTGGAAGAAGAGACCTGGATGGGGCTGGTGACAAGGGGGTGGGGCCTCAGGGGCTCAGCTACACCTCTTGAACCTGCCCCCCCACCCCTAGGTGATGCTGCAGGTGCCCCAGCTCCCTTTGCTGGCTGAGGGCAAGAGCTACCACTGTGCCTTTGGGAGCCAGGCCCGCCCAGCCACTCGCCAGGACTCCTGGGTCCACTGCTTGGCGCTCAGCCCTGACCAGGTCCCACCAGCCTAGAAGGCAAAGGTTAGCTCATCCCTACCCACAATGTGTTGCTCTAGCCTTTCCCCTTCTTCTTCCCTCCCCAGAGGATTCCCTCACTTTACTCGCCTTAGTGAGGCTGCAGCTGGAGTTCCCGCTTTACTCGGCCTTGGTGAGCCTCAGTTGGAGTATTGCACCCAGTTCTGGGCTCCACACTTTAGAAAGAATGTGGGGAAGTTTTGAGAGAGTCCAGAGGAGAGCCACGTGCATGATTAGAGGTCAAGAAAATAGGCCTTATGAGGAGAGGCTGAGGCATGGGACTCTTCATCCTGGAGAAGAGAAGGCTCGGGGTGACTTGGTGGCAGCCTATAAGTATACGCTTATATACATGGTATGCATCAGGAACTGGGAAAATGTCTGTTCACCAGGGCACCCCAAGGGAAGACCAGGTCTAATGGTCATAAATTGCTGGAAGACCATTTTAGACAGGACATAAGGAAAAGCTTCTTTACTGTCCGAGTCTCCAGAGTCTGGAATAGACTCCCCCAGAAATGGTACAAGCACCTACTCTGGATACCTTTAAGAAACACTTGGATGCTTATCTTACTGGGGTCATCTGCCCCCAGCTGACTTCCTGCCCCTTGGGCAGGGGGCTGGACTCGATGATCTCGAGAGGTCCCTTCCAGTCCTAATGTCTATGACATCAGTGGGATTCCCCATAGCTCAGTGGATCCAGCCCCACTTCAACTGGAGGACCAGGGACCTACAATTTTGGCACAATGGGCGGGATTCTTACAAGATCTCTGCTCCCATGACATCCGTAGGCACTTCACCCACTGAAGTGAACGTAGCAGATTTTGACTAACACCGAACACTTCTGGAAGTGCCACAAAAGTAGCGAGAGCAGAAAAAAATCAGGGTGAGAATGAGGAGGAAATGGACAAGGGTTCCAGCAACATGACTGGGCACTGACTCAGCTTAATGGAACACGTATATTTACTGGTTATGGGAACTAGTTCCTTACTATAAAAATAATGAAGATGATATAAAATAATGACTGCTACTAACTTACTGCTTCCAGACATCGTGGAAGACTCGTAGCTCAGTGCTTGTCCTTGAACACCTCTAGTATGAACAGAAGTGTGGTTACTTTGTACACATGAGGTGCTGGAGAAGAATTCAGGCGCAACCTTAAACTGGAAGGGAGTGCCGGCAGGCCCAGTGCCCTGGATGAAAAATGATGCAGACTGGCACACTTGGTTGAAAACTGCACAAGCCTAATTCAGGAAAGCAAGATTAAAGTGCTACTAAAAGAAATAACAGTGGTAATATACACTATCACCCAATGCTCCAGAGTACAAGTTCTCTCTGTCTAAAATGTCTATAAAACATTTTATAGATGGTGTTAGCATGGTGTTGTCACGTTATCAGTGTTATCACTGCTGTTGTCCTTGTTCAGCGTTACTGATGTGCTGTCAGTGTTGAAGTCTCAGGAACTGTGGTGTTGAGAAAGTCGCAGCCAGGCGATCCCAACACCAATCCTGTCTTAAAGAAGGACCACAGGCTCAGTTCAGAGGCAAAGATTTGGCTAGGTTTATTGTCTACAAGCACAGCCCTAACACATTTGGCCTAACATGTACATCAGACTAGGAGCTAAGGCATTTGTACCCAGGACAAGGCAGTCAGTACAACACTATGCAGGCTCCCCTAGGCCGCTACAAAGGTCCCATATTTTCCAAGTCTTTTATACAACAATCAAAACAAATTACATATTGCATTCCATCCATATCTTGAATATCTTACACCATCCCGTACCATGGGCTTGTTTCCTATCCTGATCAGGTGTTCTTGTTCCAGTGCCTTATTGTTCTGGTATTGGACTATCCTACCACCTTGAACAGCCACCTACCCCTCCCTTCTTCTGGCAGCAGTGCCCTTCTGGCCCCTAAGGCAAGTTTTGCTTATATAAGGAGCTCATACATCAGTTAGGTTGGCTGGTCAGGTCTACTCTGGCCAATGCTTTAGCAAAGCTTTCGTGTGAGTACAGGCAGTCCTCGGACTTACAACACAACTTGGTTCCTGAAAACTGTCTTAAGTCGAAATGTAACTCAGAACCAATTTTCCCATAGGAAACAATGTTATAAATGGGGGATTGGTTCCTGAACCAAGGCCTGACACCCTATTTTCACCAAAAATAACCCATAATTTTGTACTCAGTCAATTATAGATGAGTAATATAGCTACATTAATGTATTTATATTGTAATTACAATCACATTGATTTGGAAGGACTTCTTTGAGGTGACTTTGCTGGACTTTTTGAAGGGCTCTTGGCTGGAATCTTCTCAGGAGCCTTGCCTGCAGGTTTTTCTTGAGTCTTGGCTGCTTTCTTAAAGAAAGCATCCAAGGAAGCTTGGACAGATGTTTTCCAGGGAGATGGGCGATGCAGTGAACGTGTTCACTCGTGTGGCATCGCATTGGACCAAGCATTTATAAAGTCGAAACTGATGTCAGAAAGTTGAAACAGTGTCAATCAATAAACCTTGTAAGTGCAAAACATTGTAACTCAAAACGTTGTTAAGTCAAGGACTGCCAGTATATATTAATCAATGTTCCAGCGAGGCCTACGCATGGCTACTAATGACCCAACCCTATTCCATCTAACAAGCCTTTAAATGGACTTAGGTGTCTAGTGTGGTCCTATTTCACTCTGAAAAAATGCTAGTGTGTCTATTTCTGCACCATGTCATCGTCTGAGCTCCAAAAGATCAACCATTTTTGTGATGACTGTTCTAACAGGGTTGACTAAGATCACATGTGGGCACCTACTCAGACATCTAATGGGTGGAACACGATTGCACCCTAAGTGCTTTAGGCCCACTATAACTCTCTCAAACTCACTTGTACGATGCCTTTGGGGGTTTTGACACAGGTTTTGTACCTTTAAGTTAATTATAAAGCAAATATGGTTAAAGAAGGATGTGGGGCTTTTTCACACCAATGTACCAAGCTAACTTGCACGTGCAACAGCTAGACAAAATTACAGGTTTCTAATGTGCTGCATTTCTAACCATAAACCACGGGGCTCAGGCCTTTAAATACATACAATGCATTTTTAAATAGCGTTTGAACCCTACCTCAACCTTCACGAGAACTTTGGATTTGGTGTAAAAAAGCAGGTTGTAACCCTTTCTGTTTGCAAACGGCACAGGATTTTACAGTGACTGCAACGTGGCCGCATCATGAGGGAGGGGTTTAAGACCATCCCATACGAATACAAGGAGAAAAATCAGAAGACTGGATAGAATTGAGGCGGAGGCAGCAAGGGAGGCAATAAGTCCCTAACGAACTCGGAGGGCAAACTAATGACTGGTGAAGCAAAGACTGAAGCTCCTAACACACAAGGCTCAATCTACAACCCAGGGGCCGAGCTGGCCTGTGGGCTTCCCACGGGTCTGGACATTAGACAGCGGGGCAATTAAAGCTGCTGACCGCTTCCCCGCTGCCAAATCTCCGAGCCCTGCAGGCCGGATGGCACGGCCCCACGTGCTGGATCGGGGTGGGTCCATGGCAGACAGGTAGGGCTGAGGCGGTGGGGCTGATCTGCAGGGATCCTGATAAAAAAAAAAAATCACAAATTCTCTGATAAAGAACTAAATAAAATCACAAATTGTCTGATAACACCCCCGCCAAAAAGAAAAGTCAGTGATTAAAATGAAAGGCCCCACACACGCCCCCTGCTGGTGCCCCTCACTCGCCACAGCAGCCGCAGCCGCAGCCCCGCGCGTGCACGCTGATAACACGAGCGAGCGGAAGTGGGAAGCAGAGAGGTGCGGGGACAGAGCTACCCGCGGCACTGCCTGAGGGGCCTTTGCGCCGCGCGCGGGTGGACAGGGAGGCTGCGCCCCAGTAGCGTCGGACCACGGAGGCGTCTGCGCATGCGCGCCCTTAAGAGACCGTCCCATTCTCTAAGAGGGATTTCTAGAGCCGCGGGGGGGAAGGACCCCAAACGCCCCTACAAGCCCACGGCCCCCCGGAGGGGTGGCTACTGCGCTGCCTGATCAGAAAGTGTTCGTCGTCCCGCCCCTCCAGCGCAGGCAGGCCCTGCTGATGTGCGCATGCGCAGAGGGATGCGCCGCAGCGCCCTCTGCAGACCGGGCCCGGCTGGGAGGAGCCCGGAGCAGCCTTTGCGGCTCCTGGCTGGCAGCCTGAGAGAGTCGTTACCACCTGTGAAATGGGCTCATGCCAATGAGAGCTGCGGTCCAGTAGCCCCTGGGTGCTGCCTGGCTGGAAATGCTGCAGCTGGCCAGTGGGTTTAAAACTTGAGGTGAAGCAGGAATCACAGGGGATGCAAGTGCTCCAGTGCCCCAGGACAGCCCCAGAACGGGAACCGCAAGTCCCGGTCCTGGCTGTGAGAGCCTGGAACAGTGCTTGTCCCAGATTTGCAGCGTCATGAAGGGACCGTGGGAAACAAAAGTGCTTTGGGGGTTGGCAGGAGCTGGACGCAGGGGTGCCAGTGCGTGTGCACACCCGCATGGCCTGGAGTGCAGCCAGGCAGGGGGTCTGGGGAAGTGGGGCACAGATCAAGCCCCCCCCCCAGTGAGGGAGGGGGCACTGCCCAGCCAGGGCAGTGCACAGGGCCGGGGTGAGGAGCAGGATGGAGCCATGGGCGGTTGGTCTAGGGAGCATGGGGGCACGTGCCCCCCCCAGACTTGTGCATGGGGTGGGTGCAGATGCAGGCTGCCCACTGTGGGCTCGGGACTCCCTGACTTCCTGCCCTGCTCCCGGGGTCTTGCACTGGCCCTACAACGTGCCCCCTGCCTGGAGGGAGGTGGCAGTGGAGTGGAGGTGTGCTCTCTGCTGCTGCCAGGCAAGCACAGGGCACAGGGCTGGCGTGGGGCTTCCAAGGGAAAGGCAGCAGGGCAGGGAGCCCCCATCCACCCTCCACTCAAGGCAGGCATGTGCCCACCTTTCCCTTTTGAAAAGGTGGTTATCCTACTCCCTTGGAGGACCATGTACTCCCCCACTGCTGCTGCAAGTGAACCATACCCACTGAGGGCAAGTGAAACTCAGGGGCATCTGAACCCCAAGCCTCCAGGCTTGGGCCTGCACACAGGATGCCCGCCAAAGAATATGGAAGCATCTGAAGCCCCAGGCAGGGTGAAGGGTGTTTGCCAGTAGTAGGACCACATTTAGTTCTTGAATGATTCATGGATTTGGAATTGATTTGACTTGAGAGACAAAAAAATTGTTCTTAAAAAAAAAAAGGACCCTTTGAGGGCAGTGGGTGGTGGTATGAGTATGGAAATGGATGCACAGGCACACAGAGGTGGGGTGCAAACTGTGTAAAAGGTTTTTAGTGTGCTTTGACCTACCAAGTGAACCACAGGGGCCGCTTGGCAGAGTGTTGGAGGTGGAGTTATATTTATTTATATATGTAGAAATATTTTTTTTTTCCCTCAAAAATAAGGATTTCCCTGAGGGCCACATAAATGACATCCAGGCCAGCCCTGACCCACAGGCCCTATGATAACTATGTCCAGGGCAACATAGCATGCAGAGCACTGGACAGGAGTTGCCAGAGCTGTTCTGCTCCCAACTCTACCACTAACCCTCCCTGGGACCTTGGAGATGTCCCACCAGCCAAGAGGGCTTTTGGGCAGGGTGTGATGTGTGGGCTGGAGGCTTCATCCACGTTTTGGATTCAGTGCACACCGTGCTGGTGCAAGGATGCTAAAGCTTGAGCCCACAAGTGCTGGACCCATGAGCAGTTCTTAGTGGCATCACACTGACCATGAATGGCCACAGAGGCAAAAGGACACCTGAGCTACTTGTGAGCTAATAGCTCCCTATGCATCAGATCTGTCTGACATGCAGAAGCTACACCACTTCCCCCGGGGGAGAAACCAAAGCAGAGGTACGCTGTCCCAGTTCCTAGAGTCAGTGGGGACACCATGCTGCCCATCATACCAACCACACACAGCAAGGATGGGTTTCTTTGGGTTTCTTTAATAGCCGGGCAGCAGAAGGGTGGATGGGGCTAATCTGCAGTGAGGAAAGCAGCAGTGGCAGGTGAAGGAGTGAAGCTCCTGTGTCCTTCTCCCCATGAGGTGCCTGCTGGGATGGGGCGCTTGTACTTGGGTCACAGGTCTGGTGGCTGTGAGACTACCGATGTGCAGATAAAGTGTGGCTGGCTGAGGACTTTGCATTGCAGGGAGCAAGCTCAGGGGCTGTCTGCAGTGGGCTGTGTGCTCTGGAGCCCATGGGAAGCAGAGACCTTTGTTGGCCAGTCACTGCTCTGTCCTTACTTGCCCTGTCTGAGCATGCAGAAGCCCTCTCTGAGGCCGGGGGGGACCTGGCCCTGTCCAACTGCAGCTCCACAGGGCTCCTAGTGTTGAGAGGCACAGTGCTGTTACCAGGGGAGTGACAGGGGGGCACCGGCAGTGATGAGGTAGGGCTCTTCCCCAGGTTCTTCGGTTTGGCATCTCCCAGTGGAGTGTTGAAGGGAGTT